TGACGATCAGTCTATATAATCTTGTTAAAGTGGAAAAAAAATGGTGAAGGAATAAAACTATCAGGTCATCCCATAAGTTCTGTCCGAATTTTGAATAAAGAAAACAAGTGACCAAATGTTACATTTAATTACAGATTCAATCAACAATGTATTTTCCCTGATTATCTATGTCTTCCTTCCATCTATTAACAAGCTTACTAATTCCATTACTGTAAAATTCTTATTGGCTTTGATTCGAAGAACTCATAAATGTCATTTTAATCTCTTCCTGTGTTACAAAAGCTGTTTCTTCCAAATGATTCTGTAAGCTACGAAACAAATGGTAGTCTGAAGGAGCAAGATCGGGAGAATAAGGTGGATGAGGAATTTTCTCCCAGTCAAGTTCTTCGATCTTTTGTGACGTGATACTTGCTGTGAGGGGTCGCGCATTGTCCTGATGAAACATCACCTCTTTTCGATTCACTAGAGCAGGTCTTTTTTTCTTCAAAGATTAGTTCAAACGCTCTAATTGCTGACAGTATATTTGAGCATTAATTGTTGCAATAGGTGGTAAGAATTCAATGTGGATTATTCCACCAGATTGAAAGAAGAACCTTTTGCCCATGAAGTTCCCTTCTCGGCTGTGGCTGGGGTCCCTCCCCTTTACGAAGCCACTGTCTACGACGCTTAACATTTCGATAAAAGATCCATTTTTCGTCGCCAGTCACAAGTCTATCCAAAAAAGATGAAACAAGTTGGCGAGAATGGAAAGAAGAGCAGATGTCAACTCGGGATTTGAGGTTGTTTTCAGACAATTCATGAGGCACCCATTTTCCAAGTTTAGGAACTTTTCCAAGTTGTTGACGATGACGATGAACAGTTGCATGGTTTGAACTGAGAATCACTGCTAATTCCTCAACTGATAAAGCAGGATTTTCTTCAAGGGCTGCTTCCAGAAGCTTTTCATCAAACTCAACTGGACGTCCGGTTCGATCTTCATCTTCAATGGTGAAATCTCCACCTCTGAATTTTGCAAACCATCTTCTGCAAGTTCTTTCATTCACACATTCCTCTCCATAAACTGAGTGAATGTTTCTAGCCGCTTTGGCTGCTGAGTTTCCTTTCTTGAACTCATAAAGCATTATGTGCCTCAAATGATTCTTGGGTACTTCCATGTTAGCAGGGTTTTAATCAAACAAAATTTAATTTTATTGTTCTCTGAATTAAAATTTGATCAGTTTAAATGCATCTAAACATAAAAAATAATGTTCAGCTTAATTAGACATTATAAAATACTCTTTAAATTTCGTTCATTTAAAAAAAAGCTAAAATTCGGACAGAACTTATGGGATGACCTGATAGTTCAGAATTAAGAATAGTTTATTTTTCAAGAACAGACTGATTATGAGGAGAAACTAAATTCCTTATTTAATTCCTTGTTGATTTGATTCTTGAATTCTGGATAATTCAGATAGTGCCGACTTTCATCATTACAACGTAGAGACGATTCCTTACTTTGCTATGATGAAAGAATTTCGGTAATCTGACTTAATAGAAATGTCAGAAACTAAAGCAATAGATTTGGAAGGAAACACCAAGCAAGAGCGTTAACATTAGAACTGAGAATTCTTATTTCCAGAAAAACTGTTTTAAGAAAAAGATTTTATAGATTTCAGCCGACAGAAACCCCAATTTTTATGTAAATGTCTGCCAATGTTTCCTATCACAGAAACAGTTAACTACATCAGTACCATAATAACAAGAAAATAAAATGAAATATAAACTAGTTAATTTATTATTTCAGAATACATCATTCATTTCTTGAAACAGTCTTCTAGGAGGAAAGGAAACCGCACTTTTTAAAAATCATTTTCTCTTTTCTTTTAGAAAAACATTCACCAGGCCAAACAACAATAATCACATCGCTTGAATACTTGGAACAAAAACCACAAAAACAGATAACACCTGTTACGAGAAGAGAAAATAATATGATCAACATGTTAAAATTCCACACTACCTAAAACAAAAGGTTAGGAAGGAAATTCCCACCACTATTAGAAAGTGTTATAATATTTAGTAAACCTGAGAGGGCAAATTTCATGAAAAACTTTATCAAGGAAAAGATTTTATGATTTTCATCAGACAGTTACACTGTTCGGTCAATGAATGCTGAATGTTTTCTGTACTGAAACGCTTCATTTTATACTTACTTTTGCCATTCTGATGATATAATAATCTGTTTAACTTTTGTTTCGTTTGGGCATGCAATTAATCTTGAAAGACTGGGATAAATACGTATTTTTCTTTTCGTTCGTCGAAGTTGTTGGCAATACCTATCTGAATCGATTGCCTTTCAGTATTGTAATAAAAGAAATATGGCTGGCCACTTGTATCTGAGGATGTCCGTCTACTAGGGCGGCTACGTAATCTCTGTTGCAGACGCCTGCTCAGGCATATTTGTGTTTGTTCATCACCCACAGAGCCAACCTGTGGTTTATACTGTAACTATGCTGAGCAGATCTTAATTACAGATTCTGAGAGAGAGAGAGAGAGAGAGAGAGAGAGAGAGAGAGAGAGAACGTTATCTAGTGTCATTAACAGTCTGAACAAAGACAGCACGGACAAAACCTCGGTCATGCTGATTTGTCACTTCGTGCTAGCACAATCATCGACGGCTTCCAAAAGTTCCGTCTACCCAATTTCACTCACAAGTCTTGGTTCAAGTCGTGGTATGGTTTTCAGGCTCTTTCCAAAGGGCAGCACGCTAATCTTTGGTGAGATTCGAACCCGGATCTCATGGTCAGAAAACAAACGGTCTGCGTGCCAATTATTGTAATAACTACCATATTCTACTGATTGCTCACCAAACTTTATGGCTCTAGTGCTTTACCGAAATGATTTTGTGTCACCAATTCAGATTCTAACGATATGTAATGAAACTGGCCTTCTTGTACTGCTTTGATCATTGGGTATAAAAAGAATTATATTTTTGGAAAACAAAGGTAAAGTTCTTTTATTCGGTCTTCAAAATGCTCTTTTACTTCCTGAAGAACGAGATATCCGTAATATGCTCCGAAAGTAATGTATTCTATTTATTTCTATGTAACCTAACATCAAATACAGGAAGTACTATATCACAGGAAAATCGCGGCTAGAAAACACTATAATCATTAATATTTGCTATACATTTTCTTTAGTTATAAATAAGAGGCACACTCAATTTCAAAGTTGGGGTTCACATTATAAATAAAGACACAAAATATTATTTTCCAAATCGTTACCGTTTTTTAGTTGAAACGAGTTTAAAAAATAAGTTTTAAGTTCAAAATCGTACCGTTGGAATTTCATTCCAGTGATCAGTTAAAGCCTTATAGCACGACATATATATATATGTGAAAATATATAGCAAATAGAAAAGAACTGGTTAGGTAAATAATCCAAAGTTCCTTAGTATTTTAGTTATTATTTTTTAAAACTAGAGCTCGATACAAAAGTAGAGCATAAATATAATTATTTATTTAAAAATATGAGACCTCTTATGTCGCGAGTTGGAATCATATTTTTAAATAATATATATATATATATATATATATATATATATATATATATATATATATATATATATATATATATATATATATGTATGTATGTATATATATTCACACACACACACATATATATATATATGTATATATATATATGCACACACACATACACACATATATATATATATACACACACACATATATATATGTATATATATGTATATATATGCACACACACACACACACACACATATATATATATACACACACACGCACATATATATATGATAATGGTTTTTTTAAAAAAAGGACAAATTTCAGTCAGGTTACTTTCGCGGGCCTCGAAATAAACGCTACTACTATAGGCATCACCCAACCCCATCTTAAAAGACAACTATGAAAAGATATTAATTACAATTCAAAAACAATCCTCTTGAAAATGGATAAAGATGTGACCGAAAGCGGCACGGACAATGGACACAACGAAAACTAGAAATATTAGAAAATCTCAATAAAAATTTAATCAAATCTCCCTCGTCTGAAAGTTGCTGCCCGAATATACATTATATAAGTATACAAGCACACACGCGCACGCGCGCACACACACACACACACACACACGGAGGGTCTAAAATGTTTTTGGTTCGACCAAGATATGATTGTCCAAATGTTTCTACATTTGTTGAGATTTTGTCATGTGGGCCATAGTTCGATAAACCATGAGGATCTTAAGGACGTGACATGTACAGCAGCCGTTACAATAATCGGTGTGTCTAGGGTAAGATAACTTGGCGGCGGACATTCATCTTTAATTTGGTTTTGAGTTCAGAGATTTCCTTCTCTTAAACAAATTGTTACCTCAAGAAAAAAAAGATACATTTCAGCTCTACTATTTAACCCATTGCTGGGGAAAGAAGAAATGGGTTCGTCCTTTTCGCAAGTGAGCACATTCAGCCAGAAATTGAACTCTCCCCGCTGACTTCACTAGTCGCTAACCGTTGCGCTACCTCCACATCCTCTATTTGAATATATATATATATATATATATATATATATATATATATATATATATATATATATATATATATATATATATATATATATATATATATGTGTGTGTGTGTGTGTGTGTGTGTGTGTGTGTGTGTGTGTTTATTTCTATCCGCAAACATTTCTCTAATAGAATGGAAGTGCCTGTTTCTTTCCTTTCTCCTACAATGCGTGTGTGTCTCTTCATGTGCGTTGATGTGTGTTCACGTGCGTGTATGTGTGTTCATGTGCGTAGGTGTGTGTTAATGCGTATGTATGTGTGCGTTTTATGCGTGTATGTTGTCTGTGTTTGAGATTATATAAAAATAATTACTCGTTTGCAATTACTTATATTTCTATAAAGGAAAGAGGCAATCTGTTTCTCGCTCTGTCTGTCTCTCCACTTCTCCGTGTCTGTCTGTCTCTCTGCCTGTCTGTCTCTCTGTGTCAGTACGAACTTGAGTAATAATATTTTTTTTTTAAATCGCCTATATGTGTCAGTGGGTCAGCGGGTTGGGAACTTGTCATGCAACATATGCCGGCCAGCTGACATAGTTTATTAAATATAAAAAGAGACCTCTCGCAAACTTCCAGTGCAAGGAGCAGGAGCAATAGGCCTGGATGGCGGTTTGTGGGGGCTGAAAGGGAAGTGCGGCGTGGGAAGGGAAAGCTATAGGGAAGGAAATTCCGGAAAGGAAGGAAGTCTCGAAAGAAATAAAGACGGTTATTTAAAGAAAGAAAGAAAGAAAGAAAGAAAGAAAGAAAGAAAGAAATTAGAAGAGGGCAAAGAAGGAAAAATTCAGAAAGATTGGAAAATAGAAAATGAAAAGAAAAGAAAGACCTAAGAAAAAAAGAAAGAAAATGAAAAAGTTGAAATAACTGAAAACAGAAGAAAATCCTAGGGAAAAAGAAGAAAGAAAAAGATAGAAATAAAAAAAAAGAGAAGAAAGAACGAAAAAGAGAAGTAAAATGTGTAAAAGAAAGAGGAAAACGGGAAAGGGAAGAAAATATTAGAAAGAAAGAAAGAAAGAAAGAAAGAAAGAAAGAAAGAAGTAAAAGAGAAAAACGAAAAAAGAAGAAAAATGTAAAAAAGAAAGGTGCAAGAGAAGAACAGAAAACTGAAGAACACATGAGAAAGAAAGAAAGAAAGAAAGAAAGAAAGAAAAAAGAATGAAAGAACGAAAATAGATGAACAAGGAGGCAAAAGAAAAAAGTACGGAAAAGAGACGAAATTAAAAAAATATAAAGATAAAAGAACTGAAGAAGAAAAGAAAGTAACAAAGAACGAGAAAAGAAGAAATAGATACAAAGTAGTAAAAGAATGAAAATTCAGAAAGAAATTCGGAAGAAAAATAAAATACAAAATAGAAGCTAATGAAGGAAATATTTTAAAAGAATATACATCGGAAGAAAAATAGGAAAATAAAAAAATGAAAGTGAATAGAAATTGGGAAGAAGAAGAAGAAGAAGAAGAAGAAGAAGAAGAAGAAGAAGGAGGAGGAGGAGGAGAAGAAGAAGAAGAAGAAGAAGAAGAAGAAGAAGAAGAAGGACAAAGAAGAAAAAGATGAAAAATATACTGAAAAAAGAATCAAAAAAAAAAAGAAAATAGACTGAAAAAAAATTTTTATGGGCGGCCAAAAAGAAAAAAAGAAGATTAAAATGATTTTTTTTAAGACAAGAAGAAGTGGAGAAAATAGGAAAATGTTTTAAAAAACGAAAAAAAAACGAGAGAAAAATTATAAATGATGAAAGACTGAGAAAGAGAAGTAAAAAGATTGAAATAAATAGGTAAACAATAGGTAAAGAAGAGGAAGAAAAGAAAAGAATGAAGAAAAATTAAATAAATGAAAAAATAAATATGCGACGAAGAAGCAAGAAAAAAACGACAATCGAAGAAGAGAATTGAAACGACAAAAAAGAAGAAAAAGAAATCGTTAATGGATAAGAGAAGAGAATAAAAAAGAAAAAATTATGAAGAAAGAATGATAAAAAGTAAATAAAAAAAGATGGAGAAAAGAAAGATGATGTAGAAGAAAAAGGAAAAAAATTAAAGAAGAAAACGATAATAAACAAAGGAGAAAAGAAGAGGAAGAAAGAAAGAAATTACAAGGAGAAGAAAAGAAAAAAGAAGATGAAGAAAAACAGATTGAAAAAAAGGAGTGGCATCGGAATAATATTCATGAATGTGAAGTTCCTTTCTCAAAAAATGGTGTCTCACGAAATCTTTTGTTCAAAGGTGGAAAGAATTTGTAGTTAACATAGAAACATTTCAAAGCCCTTTAAGGCAAGATTACAATCCCAGGTGGCATGAAGAGCATGCCAAGTTAGCAGAAAAAGAAATAACTAGAGACGCAGATGTTTGAATTCAGGTATTTGAAGAATTAGAGAAAATTGGAATGTAAAAATTCATATTACGAACTTTAAATATCTTACTAACACAATTACCTGGAAATGATATCAAAAATTATCTACCTGTCTGCCAGTGGAATACAAGTCACGGTTTTTGATATTATTATTGTTCATACAGTGTTGGAATTTCTTTCAGACGAGGTATTATCATGATATGCATTGCTATTCGAACCACCATGATCAGCTTGTTCAGAAAGTTTCCACCAATTTAGTTATTTTACTTATTCGGTAACCTCCTCGGCATTTCGAAGCGGACTTTTTATTCAGTCCACATGGATGGATTATTATCATTTTATTCTTTAGACTTACAGAATATTTCGTATCAGTAATTACTGATGGTATCTACTTTCGTGTGGTCGTGTAAATTACTGTATATATTACGTGAGATTACTATATATATTAATGTTCTGACTATGAGACCGAGTTCGTATCTGACCATGACCGATTTCCTAATAATAATAGCTTGAAGACACAATCCCGGCGTGCAGTGCTGTTTGTAAGTACCTGAAAAACATACCAGTTGTTGACCGAAGTATTGAAAGTGAAATTAGTTAGTCGAAACTGTTGGGAAGCCGTCGTTGATTGAGCTAGCACGAAATCACTAGTCATCGTGACCGAGAGTTTGAGCGTACTGATATTGTTCAAACTGGTAATTACACTTTCTTTCCCTGAAACTGTAACTAAGTTTCACTCAGCATAGCTGCAGTATAAACCACGAGATCCCTCTGTGGCTTTTGTACAAAGTAAAAATGAGCTTGATCAGGCATCTGCAAAAGGATTAGCTAGCGATTCTAGCAGACATAGTGGGAAACGAATGGCCAGCAATAATATATACTATACGATACTTGACTTTCATTTTTCGACTGAACTAGACTATGTGACTTTTTAGCAATACCAATCTTACAACTGGAAACCAAGTAAAACAAATGTTTTAATCCACTAGACCATATGTCATTTTAATATATACGCGATATGTCTGAAAAGTAAAAGGAGTGGGTGTGCTGTGTGACATATCGTAGCTGCTCCACCACGACAATGCACCTGCTCACAACACCCTGAGCATCCGATAGTTTCTGACCGAGAAGAACATCGCCGTACTGGAAGGACCACCCTATTCACCTGATCTTGCTCTGTATGACATTTTTCTTTTCTTCAAACTCAAGAGGGTCATCAAGTGGACCCGTTTTGAAGGCGTGGAGGCCATCAAGAGGGATGTGACGACGGAGCTGAGAAGAATCATTCTAGCAGGACATAGCATAAAAAGCTGGAAAATGCATTAGAATGAATGTTATTTTCAAAGTAAAAATATGTAGTTTGTTGTTTGGAACTGAAATTGTTTGGGACACCAGCTCACACACAATTTTAATTACCGTTATTTTTCAGTCAGACCTCGTAATAAACATCTTAAAAGATGTCGCTATTTCCTTGGCCAGTTTTGAATTCACTGCTTCATTAGTAATGAAAGTCGTTTAAAAAGAATTATCAATTTTTTTCCTACGTTCACGTGTGCATACTGAACGTCTTCATTGTATCTCCTAATGTCTGATGTAAGAAGCTAAACAATTCTAGAAATTATTTTATATTTAAATAGCACTAATCTGCAATATCCTTCAGGTATTTGTTTCGATCTATTCTGCTTGAATTTATCGACAAAACATTTATCTACAAAAAGGTAGACGTGTTATTATAGTTTTCAAGTAATCAGTTTATGTTTAACAGCTTTGATCTTACGTTCCTGTATAGTACTAATTTACTAGATTGGCATTTAGGTCCCACTCTTTTATTGTTGAAATAGTTAAATGTAACTGCCGCTTCTACTCCAACAGTTTCTTTTCTCGCACTTCCTGACAGCCGAACTCCCTTCCGTTTCCTTGCTTCCCTGATAACTACAATGTTCAAAAATTTAAATGCAACGTCAATCGCCATCTTCTGCTGACTTGAACCCCGTTCATCTTTTATCCATTCCTTAACACCCCCTATACCTAGTCATTTTTTTTCACTTTCACTGTCTGTAAACCTCCCCCGCATACTAATGACACTTCCGCCCCCCACCCCTTGAGGTGAAATGATTAAAAAAAAACTACTGTATTTTACTGTTCATGAGATAAATTATTTCCTAAAATATATATTAAAAAACGTCCTATAAATCGAAGGTCGTTGATGGGAGTTATCTTCTCTTCTAATTATTACAATTTAAACATCTGAGACGATGTATTGTAACTATTTACATTATCTCCATTATTCGGAATATTGTCCTGATCTGAAGTGCCATATTGACGTAGTTTCGGCCGTTGTACACTCCGGCCTTCTTCATTTGATATACGTTGGAATTTCGAACCGGACACTTTATTTCGTCCACCGCCATAGTATTCTGGATTAACTATTTGCCCATAGCTGGGACCCTACCAGTTGCTACCACCCCGGGTGAACTGGGGAACACCAGCAATTAAGAGGTGGTTCCACAATCCTCAAAAACTCCTGATCAGAGGCCTTGCTGTTGGATGTAGTTGAGGTGATATATCAGGTCATCCCATAAGTTCTTTCCGAATTTTAACTTTTTGTTAAAATGAACGAAATTTAAAGAGTATTTTATAATGTCTAATGGAGATGAACATTATTTTTATGTTTAGATGCATTTAAACTGATCAAATTTTATTTCAGAGAGCAATAAAATTAAATTTTGTTTGATTAAAATCCTGCTAACATGGAAGTACCCAAGAATCATTTGAGGCACATAATGCTTTATGAGTTCAAGAAAGGAAACTCAGCAGCCGAAGCGGCTAGAAACATTCACTCAGTTTATGGAGAGGAATGTGTGAATGAAAGAACTTGCAGAAGATGGGTTGCAAAATTCAAAGGTGGAGATTTCACCCTTGAAGATGAAGATCGAACTGGACGTCCAGTTGAGTTTGATGAAAAGCTTCTTGAAGCAGCCCTTGAAGAAAATCCTGCTTTATCAGTTGAGAAATTGGCAGTGATTCTCAGTTCAAACCATGCAACTGTTCATCGTCATCTTCAACAACTTGGAAAAGTTCCTAAACTTGGAAAATGGGTGCCTCATAAATTGTCTGAAAACAACCTCAAATCCCGAGTTGACATCTGCTCTTCTCTCCATTCTCCCCAACTTGTTTCACCTTTTTTGGATAGACTTGTGACTGGCGACGAAAAATGGATCTTTTATCGAAATATTAAGCATCAGTAGACAGTGGCTTGGTAAAGGAGAAGGACCCCAGCCACAGCCGAGAAGGGAACTTCATGGGCAAAAGGTCCTTCTTTCAATCTGGTGGGATCGCCAAGGAATAATTCACTTTGAATTCTTACCACCTAATGCCACAGTTAAAGCCCAAATATACTGTCAGCAATTAGAGCGTTTGAACCAAGCTTTGAGGAAAAAAAGACCTGCTCTAGTGAATCGAAAAGAGGTGATGTTTCATCAGGACAATGCGCGACCCCACACAGAAAGAATCACGTCACAAAAGGTCGAAGAACTTGGTTGGGAGAAAATTCCTCATCCACCTTATTCTCCCGATCTTGCTCCTTCAGACTATCATTTGTTTCGTAGCTTACAGAATCATTTGGAAGAAACAGCTTTTGTAACACAAGAAGAGGTTAAAACTGACATTTGTGAGTTCTTCGAATCAAAGCCAATAAGAATTTTACAGTAATGGAATTTGTAAGCTTGTTAATAGATGGAAGGAAGACATAGATAATCAGGGAAAATACATTGTTGATTGAATCTGTAATTAAATGTAACATTTGGTCACTTGTTTTCTTTATTCAAAATTCGGACAGAACTTATGGGATGACCTGATACATTGAAATTTCGAACCGAAACTTTTATTTCATCCACCGTGGTAGATTGTTCTGGTTCCACGTGTCATGCCTTTTCTGGATATCTCAGTTTCAATTATTTCCCTTTAGTAACTCAACTCTACAAGTTTTTGTTCACCTCTGATGTGGCCAGAGATTGAACTCACAACTCTTTGAGTCAAGTCACTGGATTGCTTCAGCCAACGCTTTTTATCCACTGGGTCATGTGTCGTTTCGAAATTTCAACATTATTGGTCCTGATCTGGCGGCTAGCTATCAGTCACTTTCCGACCCCCATAAGCTTGTCTCCTCTGTGTCTTTTCTATGAATATATTCATCGTAATTGTTCAGATGAGCTCATCGTTATGTTGCCAAGACATTTCCAATTTAAGCGTAGGACTAGGCTGTCGGCGAGATCTCACCACTTTCCAGTTGAGCTGACGAGATGTAACCGTAGCTTCCATGCTAATAGTTTCTTTTCTCTTACTTCTTGCTTGTGGAACTCTCTTCAGCCAACTTTATTCTGCAAAAATTTAAATGCAATGTCTATTGTTATATACTGTCTTCTTGCTTACTCTTTCCTGTTCCCGTTCGTTATTAATGTTTCTATTCCTATTTCTTCCACATCCAGTAACCCCTTGAATCTTTATTGCTTTGCTTGTGCAGCTCTCTTACGGATCCATGCTTTTCAGCCAACTTCATCTGCAAAAATTTAACTGCAATGTCAATTGTTATATGCTGTCTTCCTGATTACTCTTTTGCTGTTTCCGATCGTTATTAATGTTTCTGTTCCTATTTCTTCCACACCCAGCAACCCCTTGTGTCTAAGTGTCTGTTCTGCCTTGCATTGGTTGGTATCAATTAAAAAGAAAATTTGTTGACTGGAGTGTGGGATATTGGGATTATGATTTTATAATTAATTCATGACTTTAATATTCTGTTTGTTCCTTATATTATTCATTCTTTTCTTTATACGTTGTGCTTTCATTGTATAAATTTTAGTTTATATTCTACGGCTGTATATCTCGTCATATTTTGATCTGGTTTATAGAATGTCTCCTTTACATCTTCATGAGTATTACGTGCCAGCGCATAAGAT